ACCATAAATGAAAGAAGATGGACATTCAATAATAAAGAGACATTTGAAACATTTTAGAAAGAAAACCAGAACTGAAGAGATTATTTGCTCCTTGAACACCCCAGATAACAGAAATGCAGGAGGAATGAATGAATGCAATGGCCAAGGACAGCAACAGAAACAGCAACAGCATGATAGCAGAGAGACTAATAAGAAACTTTTTTCTAAATGTACACATAGGGACAGGGGTGAAGGAGGGAGCCTGGTGGCGATTACAGTGGAGAGGCTAGCCTAGGGCATTATGGACAGAACTTGGTGACATCCTGTCTACCCTTTTGTAGGTCTACAGTACAACATGGAAAGGTACATGAAAGAGGAGAAGGGAAGAAGGATAGAAATAAAAGTGATGTGTTTGGGTCAAAATGAGGGCAAGGTGACCCCTGTTGTCTCAGTAAGAGAAGAGCATGCAGAGGAGTGAGTGAAGACGAAGAACTGAGAGAGAAAAGGATACCTTGTTTTGGCAGTGGGAAGGAGTTCTGCTGACAAATGCATCTATGAGTGAAGAGAGAGGTTCTGTGAAAGGAGATGGGGACCTTGCACTGGGTGTGGTCTGGAAGATTTAGTGCTATAAAGAAATGGAGGGCTTGGGATATGATATTTCAGGAGGCAAAGGATCTAGTATTACTGCCAAGAATAACTTATCCAGCAAAACTGAGCATAATGCTGCAGGGGACAAAAGACGTTTAATGAAATAGAAGATTTTAAAGCCTTCCTGATAAAAAGACCAAACTTGAGTAGAAAATTTGACATTGAATAGAGGCCTTAAGAGAAGCAAAATAAGGTAAACATGTGGGAGAAATCATAAGGGAATAAACAAGGTTAAACTGTTTACATTCTTACATAGGGAGAGGATACATGTAAACCTTCAGAACTTTATCATCTGAAGGAGTATAATTACATAGAAGGCCTGGGTATAATTCTATTATTTGGAATGATCTCAAAAGAATAATAGAAAGGTGGGGAAAAGGAATGCATTGGAAGAAGAGGGGAAGGAAGAGGAAAAATGGTGAAAATTACCTAACATAAATGAGGTGGCCAAGGAAGAGCTTATTCAATATAAGGGACCATGGGGGGTGGGGTGGGGTGCGGTGGGGTGGGGAGTGGGCAGCACTTGAACTTCACTCTCATCTGAACTGGTTTAAGGAGAAAAGAATAAACATATACACAGAGCTGGGTATAGAAATTCATCTTAGCTAACAGGGAAGTAGGAGGGAAAGAGATTATTAAGAGAAGGGGTGAGGAGAAGAGGGAGAATAGATTAATAGAGGCAGTGGTCAGAAGCAAAACAGATTATTGAGGAGAGGACAAGGTAAAAAAAGGGAAGGATAAGTATAAAGAAAATAGGATGGAGGGAAATATATAGTAATCATAACTATAAATTTCAATGGGATAAACTCATCCATAAAATGGAAGACAACTGCAGAATGGGTTAGAAACCAGAACCCAACAATATATTGCTGACAAGAAACACACTTGAAAGAGAAAGATATACATAGAGTTACAATAAGAGGCTGGAACATAATCTATTATGTTTCAGCTGAAGCAAAACCAAAAGCAAGCATCGTTTGTAATAGGGATACACTAGAATCTTTCTCAATCAATACAGGAGTGAAGCAAGGATGCTCACTCTCCTCACTATTATTTTATATGGTTCTGGAAATGCTAGCAACAGCAATAAGACAAGAGAAAGAAATCAAAGGTATTAATATAGGTAAAGAGGAGATACAACTATCCTTATTTGCTGAGGATATGGTAGCATATTTGGAAAACCACAGGAAATCTGCAAAGATACTAACTGAGACAATTAAAAGCTTCAGCAAAGTTATAGGTTACAAAATAAATCATCAAAAATCAACAGCATTTCTATATAATAATGGCAAAACAACAAAAAGTAGTAAGAAATACAAATCAACCCTGAGGTTTTAACTTCATATCCTGCAAAGTGGTAAAATTTACAAAAAAATGGCAATAATCAATGCAGGAGTTATGGAATGATAGGCACACTAATATATCATTGGTGGAGCCGTGAAATGATACAACCATTTTGGAAAGTAATTTGGAATTATGCAAATAAAGTAACAAAAATGTCTATGCCCTTTGAACCAGAAACTCCATTACTAGTTTATATACCAAGGAAGCCACTGATAAAAAGAAAATCCCCATGTACTCCAAAATATTTATAGCATCACTTCTTGTGATAGTTGAGAATCAGAAACAAAGTAGATTCCCATCAATTTGGGAACAGCTATATAAATTGTGGCCCATGATTATTATGGAATATTACTATGCTGTAGTAAACGATGTGTGTGATGAACACAGGGGAGCATGGAAAGATCTATATGAACTGATGCAGAATGAAGTAAGCAGGACCAAGAAAACAATCTGCACAATAAATGGAAAGAACAACTACACATCAAAGAAGGGAATGTCACAAAATTATAAAGATCACACTTGAATGAAGAGATATTAGAAGACACCTCCAGCTCACCCTCTGTGGAGATGAGAGGCTCATAGGTGTTTCACATTGCACAGGTTTTCAGACTTTTTCAATGTATTGATCAGTTATACGGAATTTTTTCTTCTAAAAAAAAAAAGCCACCACTATTTTTTTTTATGGGATGTCTTTCTAGGAGTGGGTCAGAGGGGAATACTTTTGATAACTATGATGATGTAATAAACAGAAATCATCAATAAAAACTAACAACAACAAAAAAGAAAGACCATGGAGAATAGGAGAGCTATTATAAAACTCAAAAGGGACAAATATTGTCCCAATTTTCCAAAAAGAGAAGAGAGAAGAGTCTGTAAAATATAGGACAGTGGGCTTGACTTTGATAACTGGAAATTTCTAGAACATATTATTAAAGGAATGGGAAAAGAATAGGAGGTATACGTCACAAAGAAGATGGTTTCACCAAGAGCAAGTCAAACCAGACTAATCTACTTTCCTTTTCTAGGCATCCAGGTGGCATAGTGAATTTAACACTGAGCCTAGCATCGGGAAGGCCTGAGTTTGAATGTAGCGTCAGACACTTACAAGCTATGTGACCCTGGGCAAGTCACTTAGCTGCTGCCTGACTCAGTTTCCTCATCTGTAAAACTGAGATATTCCTCCCTTCCTACTTTTCAGATAGAGTTACTAGATCAGGGGAATGCTATAGGTATAGTTTAACCTTTAATGAAATCTTAACAAAGCAATTTGACAAAATAGCTGGAGCAATTCTTTTTTTTTTTTTTTGGCTAGGCAATGGGGTTAAGTGACTTGCCCAAGGTCACACAGCTAGTAAGTGTCAAGTGTCAGAGGTTAGATTTGAACTCAGGTCCTCCTGACTCCAGGGCCGGTGCTCTATCCACTGTGCCACCTAGCTGCCCCTAGAGCAATTCTTATAGACAAGATAGAGAAGTGGGCTAAACCAGTGGTGTCAAACTCAAATAGAATCCAGGTCAATAATCTACATATTAAGATCCCATCTGCTATATATTGACTTAGTTTTAAAATGGACCCTTATCTGTGTTTTAAGGTATTTTTATTTATTTTGTTAAATATTTCCCAACTGTATTTTAATCTGGTTTAGGCTGCATTCAGGAGTGTTGTGAGTTGCATGGGGCCCACAGGCCATGTATTTTACACCCTTGGCCTAAAAAATGGGACAGTTAGGTAGATTTGGAACTGGTTGAATGACTGGACCCAACGGACAGTCATTAATGACTCTGTGTAAATTTGAGTCTCTAGTGAAGTGCCCGAGGATCTGTGCTTGAGCCTGTTCAGATGGACTCACTTCATTTACTTAGATAAAGGCATCAATGATGAGTCTATCAAGCTTTGGTAGAAGTGGATCTTTACTCTGGCATTTAATGTTAGCTATCCATTCATGGATAGCTAACATTAAATGCCAGAGTAAAGATCCACAAAGTTTTCAACAGAGATTGCTGGGTTTAATAGAATGAGGTATATAATATATATATAATAATTTAATAGAGACAGATACAAAGTCCTACAGTGAGGCCACAATAACAAATTAACTTCACCAGTATAGGATGGGGGGGGGTGACATTGCTAGGCAGCATTTCATAAGAAAGAGATCTGAAGGTCTTAGTGGGCTGCAGATGTAATATAAATTAACTGAGTGATGTAGCAGTAAAAAGGAAAAAAAAGGCTGATATGATCTTAGACTGAATCAGGAGAAGCATAGGAGCTAGAGAGAGACCAAATAACATAGTCAATATAGAGCTGGTTTAGGAGTAAGGAAGAACTGTTTAAGTCCTGTCTTCGATCTCTTCCTGACTGTGTAACCTTGGATGGATCATTTAAATTTAACCTCACCGAGTCTTAGGTAACTCTCTCAGACAATTAGTTTCTTTTTCGGGGGTGGGGGAGAAGGAGGAAATCAGGGTTAAGTGGCTTGCCCAGGGTCACACAGCTAATAAGTGTCTGAGGCCGGATTTGAACTCAGGTCCTTCTAATTGGAGGGCTGGTGCTCTATCCACTGTGTCACCTAGCTGCCCCTTCAGACAATTAGTTTCAGAGTAGGTGCTGCTCTGCATTGGTAGAGGGAACCTTTCTAATACTGATGAAATTGCAGGTCCCACTTAAAAAAAAAAAAAAAGTGCTGTAGGTTAGGAAGGGGCTAGTGCCCTGGTCAGATCATATCTGGAATCCTATGCTCAGTTCTGGATACATTTTAAGAACACTAATTAATAGGATAATGCCTAGAGGGAAGGGAATGAGAGTCATGGCCCAGGGAGAAGGGAGTCATACTGGTGTTTAGGAAGAAAGGAGACCCCCGCCTTCTAGATCTTGTCTCTCTTCAGTTAGGGGTTCAGTTTGGTTAGGTTATTTCTCCTGGAAGAAAGAATATGGATATCTGATTCTGTGAAGGAACAAGAGTTAAGATCTTGGGGCTGGGGAAAGTTAGGTATCAAGAGAAGGAGGACAGATACTGAAGAGAGGAGTGACTTACTGAAGAGAGATGGGGCACGTAGGCAGCAATCGAGGACACAATCACCACTGAGCCACCTCTGGAACAGACAAGGAGACTGTTGTTGCATACTCACGTTAGAGACCCCCTACTCTTATTTTCCTTTCCTCTCAAATGCATGAGGGATACCCTTCACTCACTCCCAGTCTAAATCTCCACCACCACATCCGTCCCCTTTGACTCCCGTACCCCCGTTTCTTCATTTCTGGCACCACTTCATTCATTAGCAGGGCTGTGGCCTTCACGTTAACATCCAGAACCTGAAACCGAGAGGAGGAAAATCAATCATTGGAAAGGCAGTGTGAAGAAAGACAGAGTGATAGGTTATTGGATTAGGGTTAGGGCCAGCTGAGCAAGCATGTAGCCTTGTTCTCCCTGTCTCTGGAGACAAGGTCAGGGCTGAACCTACCCTGATTGTCTTGTTATGACTGGAACAGACCTGAATTGCTAAGGCTACCATGGAATTTACCTGGCATCTCTGAGGGCCTTCTGATTAGAGATGTCATGTAATTGGTAATTATTACTAGTTATTAGTATAATTACTAATTATTAGTAATTAGGGTATAAGCATCTTGAGGGAAGGGATTGCTTTCTTTTTGTCTTTATGTATCCCCAATGCCTATCACAGTGCCTTACACAAAGTAGGCACTTAACAGATGCTTGTTCATAGGTTGATAGACTTGAAGCTAGAGGAGATTCCAGAGGACATTTAGTCCAGACCCTTCATTTTAGAGACAAAGAAGAGAGTCTAAGTGAATTGCCCAATGTAACCTAGGTAGAAAGTGAAAGAACTGGCATTTGAACCCAGGTCCTCCGACTCCAAATTCAGCATTTTTTCCACTGTACCATGCCACAAGAATGAATGAATTGAGTTGAGCCCCTCTGGGACCACTCCATACAGGAGAACTGAACTCTCAGGGATGGCCCAGTCCGACCTCGTAAATGTGTCTGAGATTATTCTAGCACCAATATGGCTTTTGGGTTTTTTCTGGAATGTGGGATCACGAGGGGGAAACATAGTGAGGGGAAATGGGATAATGGGTCCTAGCAAATGCTTCTATTCTACTAATTTAAAAGAAAATATGTAATAGGCAGGATGGCATTGAAATGTTGAATTTGGAATCAGAGGACCTAGAACCAAATCCTAACTTTCCCACTTATTACTGGAGTAACCTTGAACAAATCACTAAAACCTCTCTAGACCTCAGACTCTCTATCTGTAAAATGAAGGGGTTGGATTAGATGAACTCAAAGTTCCTATCCAGCTCTATACCTATAATCGTATGGAAATCTGGCACAACTTCTTGGCTCCCAAACTGATTTCAAAACTGTCTTGAGCAGGAGTTGCATATTAAATTAGTCTTCTTATCTCAAAGCAGATTATAACCAAGTTCAGGAACTGAGTCACTGAAAAACCAAAATTTCATACTTATAAAATACTAGTGTTTTCTTTTAGTTTAACCTCAACTACAGTGCGAGGAAATCACTGAAAATTAGAGCAAGAAGCAAAACTGCAGGGAGATTATAAACAATTTAGCATTCCTAATTCTGGTGGGAATGTTAATTCTACTAAACAAACAGAAATATTTTAATTAAGAACATTGTAATTGCAGAAAAGTGGGCATGTGCAATTTATCACAGAAATATTGAAATTGTCTGCATTAATATAATATGTAAATATTGCTGTCACAGGGGGTTGGGCATATATGTCTGTGCTCTCCTTGAACGTACTAACCTTCCTAAGTGCAAAAGAAGCAGTTTCTTTCCTTTTTTTCTTCATTCACTCATTTACCTATCTATTTTTACAAACGGTGTAATATTCTAAAGTGATACAATTTGAATTATCTTACCAGAAATGTTATTTCACAAGTTATCAAAAAGTATATTCATTTCCGGTAATTGAAGGGGAGAACCGTGAATCTCTTAGTTGAATGGTAGATTGTATATTGTCATTATATTATCTTCCAAATGAGGCATTTGAGGGGCAGCTAGGTGGCACAGTGGATAGAGCACTGGCCATGGAGTCAGGAGGACCTGAGTTCAAATCTGGCCTCAGACACTTGACACTAGTTGTGTGACCCTGGGCAAGTCACTTAACCCCAAATGAGACATTTGGGGTATTGCATAGTGTGTTGGGATTTGAGCTTGGAGCATCTTAATTCAAATCTACCCTTTGATACTTACTACCTAGGTGATCCTGGGCAAGTCCCTTAGCCTGTCTCCTTAGGACTTATCTGCTAAGTTAACCCTGCATCTATGGAAGGATTCCCTACACAGGGAATCTCCTACTCTGATGAAATGCAAAGTTCCTTTATTTTGTAACCTCTCTCATACATGTCTCTGATGGGTGTGGACCAGGTGGGTTGCTTACAGAAGGATGTTGAGGGCAAGTTTGGGGAGATAGGCACAGGAAGTCAAAGACAGACAAATGGAAAGAGAAGAAGCTAAAGAGTAATATGAAGGAGGAGCACAACACAAGGGTATACAGGGGTAGAGGGTTCTTCTAAGGTAATATTCAGTCTCCTGAGCTTTAGATAAGTCATTTGTTCTGAAGAGAACTACACTTTTCCTTAGTTAAATAGACAATTTTCAAGGTTCACCTCTTTGGTGCTTTAACCCTTTCTCACCTTGTCCCATATCTCCTCAGTGGCATCCACCAGATTGCCAAAGAAGGGGTTGACAGCGGCATTGGAGACTAGAATGTCAATACCTCCATGGCGGTCTATAGCCTGGGAAAAGGAATATCAGAGTCAGTGATGAGAGTAAAGTTTGGGATGTTCAACTGGATACTCACTTCACCAATGGAGATCAGCTGCTCATCACCAATTATTATTGGATTAGTGAGTTATCTGCGATAACCAGAGGTTACATGACTTTTTCATGGTCACATAGCTAGTATGTATCAGAAATAGGACTGGAACATAGGTCTTCCTAACTCCAAGGTCAGTCCTCTATTCACTGTACCATAGCATCTCACTCTCAACACTCTCCTCTTAGTTTTTGTGAAATTACACAAAAGTACTTTGTTAAACTATAACATAGAGTTTATGATTGTCACATTTTTTTTAGCTCCTCCTTTGCCCCCTTGACATTTTCTGGGTTTCATATATGATCAGGATTTGGTGCATATGCAGACCTCAACAACTCGTTCAGGTGATGTCACTTTTCTAAGTCAATATTTTATTCCAATAAATATTTACAATTATCCAAAGCCACATATATATTAATCAAGTTCAAATGTAATAAATATATTCAGTCATACTTCTTTCCTCCCCTATCTACTGAAAAGAATTTTTTAAAGTGATTGCAGTAAAACTTGTCTAGGAATGTGTGTGTAGGGAAATAGTCCTGCAATCCATGTCATTCCCCGACAGATGCATCTTGGGCCTACTAACAATTTTGTATGCAAAGGCCAGCTGTCAAGACAGCCACTCTTGTAGAGAATATTGGACAGTCTTTCTAAACAGGTTTCACTATAATAACATCAAAGAGCACTGTGCAAAGTGGTGTTGTGTTGTCCCATAAAGATTGTACGAAGGGAAAAAAACCACACACACACACACACACACACACACACACACACACACACAACCTGAGCCACACAAACACAAAGCACTGAGTCATTACACTCATTTTCCTGACCAGCTTTTGCAGTATAGATTAAATCCTATTACAGCTTGCTTCTTGGAGTCATGATCATGTGTAAAGGAAATACCTTGGACAGACTGTGGAGCATGTGTAGACATTCTGGAACTGGTTCTGGTTGGTTAACTGGGTGGTAAAGAGGAGGCCCCTTTTTTGACTCATTTAGTGATTCCTTTGCTCCTGGCAACTGCTGAGATGGGAGAAGCTATGCGGTCCTCTCCCCTCTGAGACAATATGGCCCTGTGAGAGGGTATTGGTCCTTGACCTCTGTTTGTTCTTTCTCATTCTAGGTGAAGGAAGTTGAAGTCTCTATGAGCTTGTGAATTTCTAAAGGTTCAGAGGGTGACTCAGCATACCTGAATTCTAGAGTCCAGAGGGTGTTTGGGTATTCAGTGCAGCATTGGTTACCCAAGGAGTGGCCTTTGGGACTTCAGCCCAGTGGTGTTGACACAAGTCTCACCTTTGGACCAGAACTTTGAGGGACCAAGACTATATGGAAACTGAACTAGAGCCTATTCTCCCTAGTGACCACAGCAGTACAGGATAGGCACTGGACCGGCAGCAGGAAGACCTAGGTTCAAATCTTACCTTAGACATTTATTAGCTGTGTAACCTCTGGCAAGACAGCTTTCTGTGCCTCAGTTTCCTCATTTGTAAAAATGAGAGACCGTACTTGATGCTCTTTAAGGTCCTTTCCAGTTCTAAATTTATGATCCCCATTAGATTTAGCTCACTTCAAAATTATATAACATTTTAAAATATAGTAATTAATAACTGTTGTTTTTTGGTTTTGCTAAACATTTATGTTTTCCAGAAAAAGTATATATTAATGGCAAAGCATGCTGATTTATTCTCAGTCAGCCATTCACGTGGGAAATTTAACTTTTTGGACCGTTTACCACTAGCCACCTGTTGGCAGTTACATAAGCATAGTACCCAGAAAATAAAAACCACTGGAGGTCTAGTGTTGGGAACACAAAACTATAGTGTGACAGTATATGTCACAAAGGGTACAAACCTCTCTTCAACTTATTCTTTGAACAGTTACAGCTCTTGTTGGCTATATCCCAAAATTTAGCACTTAAATATATGATGTGTTGTAGTCTTTGCAATTATTTTAGAATAGGTTCATCTATCCAACTAGGGCCATGCACTCTTCTGTACAGCCCAATATTGCCTAGAGGGTAAGAGGGGAGAAGGAAAGGAAATAAGCATTTATATGGTACCTACTACATGCTAGGCACAGTGCTAAGTGCTTTACAAATATCATTTCATTTGATCCTCACAGCAACCCTGCAAGGTGGGTGTTCTATTATGCCCATTTTACAATTCAGGAAACTGAGGCAAACAGAGATTAAGTGATTTGGCCAGGGTCACACAGCTAGTAACTGTCTGAGGCCAAACATGAACTCAGGTCTTCCTGATTCTAAGCCCAGTGCTCCATCCATGTGCTGCCTAACTGCCTCCAACAGTGTCTGGAACAGTGCTAAGGCACAGAAAAGGTAGAGAGGCAATGAGGTATAGCAGACAGCACGCTGAACTTAGAATAAAGAAGATCTTGGTTCAAATTCTTTTGACAATTATGATTTAGCTCCACGACTATAGGGAAATCACTTAACTAATCTGAGAGTCTCAGTAGCCTTATCTTTAAAATGGGCATAATAACATCCATTGTTAATGTATACCTCAGGGTTGTTGAAAAGCTCGAATGATGTAATACATGTATTTTGCAAACTTTGAAGGGTCATATAATTGCTAATTACCACTACTTATATAATTATTATATTATATATTGTCACATATAACATACTATATTATATGTAGCATATCATTATACTTATATATAATATTTATTATCATACAGTTAGGTAGAACAGTAGATAGAGCACTGGACCTGAAGTTAGGAAGATCTGAGTTCAAATTCAGCCTTGGATACTTCCTTACCTTTTCCTCTTAGAATCTCTGATTTCCTTTAAGATTCAGCTTGAATGCCAGCTTCAGTAGGAAGCGTTTGAGTTGTAAACTCATCCTAGTCCCATATACCTCTTTATGGACTTCTTGTCTCCTGCGTTAGAATGGAAGCTCCTTGGGGGCAAGAATTATTGTTGCTTTTTCTTTGTACCCCCAGAATACAGTGAAGTACTTAATAAATGCTTGCTCATTGGTTGATTGCTCTAGGCTAGGGTTACAGATAAGGCCGAGATTATCAGGCGGAACCAGATAGGATGTTTTTATAGGCAGAGGTCATTGCAGTGAAAGGAGAAGGCCCTGGGAGATTTCTCTAAATTGTGATAAACTCTAAACTGTAGTCTGTCAGCCATACATACCTAGACCTCTCGGGGCTTCTCAATGTCCTCAGAATCAAACACCAGCACTTCTGGCGCGCGTCTGCAGAGCTGCGCTCTAACCAACCAAGGCTAGCGTCTGCCTTCGTTTCATTTCTCACTCCAGTCCCTCACCAGTCAAAGGTGACTTTCTTTGGGCTCCACATATCTGACTCTTCATCTCACACCTTTGCCAAAATGGTCGCCTATCCGCGGCACGACCTCCTTCTTCCTGTCTACCGAACCGTATCTCTCCCCTCCCTTTAAGTAAAAATCCAACTCTCTCCTCCAAGAATCCTTCTCCTTAGCTGCCCCGACTTTCTAATCTGTTAGGTTCTGCGTTCTACTCCAGGGAGGAAACGTTTCCTGAGAGGAGAGGTAAAAGGGGGCACCCCGGCCACATTCCCCATATTCTGTCCCATAACTGGATGGCTAAGTCAGTAGCTTCCAACCGTGGTTGGAAATAGTGGTTTTTTTTTTTCCAACGGCAAACCCCTTTCAATAACAACAACAAAATATGTTGTGAACCCCCAGGGCATTTTAATATACAACTCAAAATATTCTGCAATTATTTACTGTTTAAGGCTCTGTTAAAGAATTTTGGCACAAATTCCTTAGATCATAGTCATGAACCCCTCAGAATTCCACTATATGGGAGCCACTCGTCTAAGTACCAAATACCAAGGCTGACGCTGGCTTAGACACTTCACTCTAGAGGCCCAAAGTATTACAGTGGGTGCCTGGGGTCTACCCCTTTGCTAACATGACATGTCATGGCAGAATGTAAGCAGGCAACCTGTGATAGGTATCTCTCTCTTGGAAAATAAATCTGCTTTGGGGATGGAGGAAGGAGGAGCTGCCCTCTTCAAATTTCCATGAGCAGGGGATCCAATTTATAAGTTGGGACATCTATTTTTTTGTTCTTTTTTTAAAAAAAAATTTTATATTTATGAAATAAAATAAGCATTTCCATATCAGAATAAAAAAAAGATGATTGCACATGAAGCTGCAAATCTATTTTATGCAACTTGCTATTTTAAATAAATAATAAAACAAAAAGTAGGTTGTGAGTGCATTTATATGTCCATATTTATGTTGAGAATAAGCTTATATGCCTTTTCTTCTCTACTAGAGGGATAATTCTTTGAGATCTAGGATAGTCTTTATTTGTTAAGCTAGGTCCTAGGTCTCTGATGTATTTGTTCCACTGGCAAGATTCTAGATCAGGGATTCGTAACATTTTTGGTATCATGGATCCCACTGGCAATCTGGTGAAACCCATGGATCTTTCTCAAAATTATGTGCTTAAATGCATAAAATACAATACATAGGCTCGTAAAGGAAACCAATTATATTGAAATAATTGTCAAAATGTAAAAAAAAAAAAATCCAGAGAATTTGCCTTTCTCCTCACCTCCCTCCTACCCCACAGGAGTCAGGTAACTGCTCCAAAGCAAATTTAAAATCTGGAATCTCTGGGCAAGGGCAAGTCATCCTGAAGATGTTCCCTGTATTACTGCATGGTATATAGTAGACTAGGCAGTTAGATGGCTCAGTGGATAGAGTGCTGGGCCTGGAGTCAGGAAGAGCTGAGTTCAAATCTTGCCTCAGACATTCACTAGCTGTGTGACCCTGGGCAAGTCACCCTGTTTGCCTCAGTTTCCTCATTTGTAAAATGAGCTGGAGAAGGAAATGGCCCACCACTCCAGTATCTTTGCCAAGAAAACCATGTGGACAATATGGTCCATGGGGACATGACTGAACAACAATAACAACAATATAATAGACTGGGAGTCAGGACACTTGTGTTCCATCCCCTAACTCTTCCACTAGCTATGAGCCCTTGGATAAATCACTTAACTTCTCTGTAACCCAGTTTCTGAATCTGTAAAATAAAGGAGTTGGATTAGATCAGAGTGTCAAATCTGTGGCCAGCTACACTCCCTAGTGTAGCATGAAATAGAGTAAAATGTAATTGGGAAATATTTAATAAAATAAAATTATAATAAAACATAGATAAGATTACTTTTTAGAACTAAATCAATATAGAATCCACAGGGATCCTTATGTACGGTTTAGTGACACCATTTTATTTGAGTTTGATACTATTAGACTAGATGATCTCTAGGCCCCTAATAAGTTCTAATTATCTATGAACCTATGGTAAAGGAACTTGGACTATGGGGCCTCTGGATGCTTTTTGATTGACTGATGAAAAACAATATGCAAATGAGCACTCTTTTACATGGATGGAAGGCATTTAGACCAATTATTAACTCTCACTTTGTGTAATAAATAGGACAGTAATACTAACTAAATACAGTAAATAATGATAATAATAATAAATACTAATGCCATAATAATAATAAATACTAATGCCATAATAAATAATAATAATAAATAAATAATAAATACATCAATACTTGGACTTAAAAAAGGAAAAGGGATCCTCTCCGCTTCCTGTTGGCCTGGCGTCCCTGCTGCTCACCGTGGCCACCAGTCGTTTGCGATCCTCTGCCTTTGCCACATGGCATACGGTGCCTGTCACACTCAGCCCCTCCTTCTGGAGCGCTGTCACAGCTCGATCCACGTTCTGCTGCTTTCGGCTGCTCACGATCACATGGGAACCGTCACTGGCCAGACGCCGAGCAATGGCAAAGCCGATCCTGGGGGTAGAGATAGGAAGATGCTGCTGTAGTTGCAACCAAGTCCCTTGGCTTTGTCCCAACCTGAGCCTGAGATAAGAATTGTAGTTATATTTCACTGGATCCTGCACAGAGAGTGGACTCCATGGCCTATAGGAGGCTGTAAGGAAGCTGAGGGTAGGGCATAGCCTAATGATGAGATTTTTGTTGTGATTTGATGAGATGACACATAGACTTCCTTTCCCCCAAATATTTTCTGAGCCAGCCAGAAACATCATTCATTTGTTGGGATTAAGCCCTGCCCTTCAGTAATACCCTTCCTCCTATGCCAGGTGTCCAAGGACTGTCTAAAACATCCACGAATAGATTTCAGGAAATCTGTGAACCTCCTGAAATAAAAAAATTAAAAAAAAAAGAAACAGGTAAAAGTTGGAAAAAGCACACCTCTATTTCTACTAACCTAGAACTAAAATTTAGCATTTCTCTTAATTATTTAAAAGACATTATTTTGAGAAGGGATCCATGGGCTTCACCAGACTGCCACAGGGATCCATGACACAAAAAATGCTAAGAACCCCTATTCTATACAGAATCCAGGCTTAAAATATCATCTCCCTATTTCTGCTGCAGGGTCCTTGCTATGTGGAAGGGGAGAGTGGAGGAATGAACTCAGTAGTTGAAGGTCAAGTACACAGCTTTCAGGCTAAATCTTAACACTCATCATCACTGCCTAGATTTCTTTTTCGATGGTCTCTGGGTATGCTCAGGACTTGAATGAAGGCCCACACAGATACCTGGGAGACATCCAATCCCAAGGGACCCTGAGTCCCTCTCACAGTGGGTTGGTAGCAAGAAGCCACACACAATAAGACATAGAAGGAAAATGGAGGAGCTTGGGACCACCACAGATAAGTCAATACCTATGGGAGCTCTACTTGGCATTTCACAATCCCATGCGCTGATTAACAAATGGCATCAGAGGCTGGCCAATAAGACAGATATCTGTACATCTTCACTGTTTTCTTAGACTCCCCTCAATAACTCCATAGTGCTTACTTTACCCATTGTATCCCCAAATGTAGATGTAATCAGCCTTCCCTTCGACTCAACTCTGATGTTATCCACAGCTCCAGGAAGGTAGAAGTAGCATTTGATAGTTTGGGAACATGGGTGCTGAAGGGAAGGGAGCAGGCAGCCCCTGAGTGGGGCATTACAATGGGGAACTCCTGCCACTTGGATAGGAAGGGGGAGGGAGAACAGCAAAGTAAGGTGAGCATTGGATACCAGGGGTAGGCAAGGTGGGATAGTTTTTAATATTATTTTTTACATATGCTCATATTTTAAACATGTTATCACAGTGAAGGCCTGCTGCTTCTGGGGGATAGAATCATGCAGGGTGTACAATTTTCAAACCTTGCCTTGGGGTGTTTGAACTTCTTAAGTTGGCTCTGCTGGGGTGGCACAGGAGCACTTAGCATAAGCAGCATTGGCACTAATTAGTTATTTTAAGGAGACATTATTTTCTTATACCAGGGGTGGCAATAAAGGGTGGATGTGGAGGGGCTAGAATAATAACATAATAATTAGCATTTATATAGCATTTTAAGGTTTGCAAATAGTTTTTTATGTTATCTTCTCACAGCAGCCTTGTGAGATAGGTGTTATTATGCCCATTTTATAAATAAAGAAACTGAGGATGAGGGAAATGAACTGATTTACCTGTGGTCACACAGTAAGTTAGTACTCCAGGCAGTTTTCAAACTCAGGTTTTCCTGATTTCAAGTCCAACACTCTACTATATCACCTAGCTACATTTAAGTTTGGGGTGCCAGGAAATTGTAATGGAAAGAGGCAGCATGAGTAACTGAGTCTAGGGATAGGGTTTGGGTTGTGTGTATGGGAAGGGCAAATTACCAAGTAGTTGACAAATATTTATTAAGTCCCCACTATGTGTATTAAATCCCTGCACTGTGCTGGGTGCTGAGGATGCCAAGACAAAAGTGAGACAGTACCTGCCCTCAAAGAGCTTACCTTCTAGTAGCAAAGAGTGCAGAAAAAACAGGAGGTCTCTGGCAGGAGAGTGAAGGTCCCTGAAGGTGAGTGACAGTTAATAGGTAAAAGGGCAAGAGAGTAGGAGGGAAGGCTCAGAGTCATTAATGTCTTGCAGGCAGGCTATGGATGGGGCATAGAGAGACCAGGACTGAACCTAGACTCAGGAAGACCTGAGTTCCAAGCCTACCTCTAGTTATGACATGGGTAAATCAGCTATTGTTAGTACATTCATCTAATAACATTCCCCCTCCTGCCTGGTACACCCCAATAAACTACACCCTTTCTTAAGCCACAGTTTAAAGACCAGCATCTGCAGGCTGTCCTGTAGAATGGGAGGCGATAGTTCTTCTGGTCATTGGTTTCCGGGGACTTGCTGGGAAGGCACTCACTCACCCATCAGTGGAGGCAGTCACCAGGGCTACTTTGTCCTGCAACAGCCTCTGATTGCTTCTGGAAGTTCCAGCAGCCTTGGAGCTCATGGTGACAGATTTCGGGTTCTGAAAGCAGGTAGTTTGCAAGAGGGCTCTAAGCATAACTCTGTCAAGAAACTGACGACTTTGTCCTCATGCAAAGATATAAAAGACCAGCCTCCTCACCCTAGCTGGGCTGGCCTACTTTGTTTTGGGCCCCTCCCCCACTTCCCAGGCTTCAAAGTTAAAGTGTCAGAGTAGCAGGAGTGGAAGGGGAGCAAGGGGGAGGTGGTACTTTCCTGGAAGTAGCGTGGGAGTGGAGTGGGCCATGGGCTCCCTCTGCTGGTACACTGTGAACCTAGTTGGACTTTGCTACCTCTTCTTGCCTGGAAGGAAGCACTTCTCTGGGTCCTACCCTCTGCTTGCTGTGTGCAGATTCACTCTGTGCATAGATCTGCTCTGGAATAGGCACTTCTACATTCATTCCAATCCAATTCAATTAATTTTGTTTCAAAACGCATTTACCAAGGGCCTACTAGGTACTAGGTATTGAGAATAGAAAGAAAAAAATGATATACATTCACCCCACTGGGAGTGGGGTGGAATTAGTGATGGGGGTAAGGGAGAGATCAAGACAAAATTCTTTAGGAAAATTTTGAGGAGGAAGAGGACATTGTGTGTAGGGAAGAAGGATCAGGGAAGATGTTACACGGAGGAGGAGGCGTGTGGCCTGAGTCCTGACAGAAGACTAGGAAGGAGTGTATTCCAAGGCGTGAAGGACTACTGCCCAAATGCAGATTTACTAAATTACATACTCTCATGTCTTTCTGAGAGAAGCTCTGGGAAAGACCTCACATGCCCTCACAGCATGCATGTTGAATTCAAAGTTTCAGGGCATTTGAGTGGCTGGTACCACTGGTTGAGGGGAAAAAGACTAAGATTTGTATTTTGTTGCTTGAGATGGCAAGATGACAATTTTGGTTAGGTGTAGGCTTTTGACACTGATTTATTTCATATAACATGTGCCTCTATTAATCAAATCAAAAGGCAGGACATGGACAAATTGTCCTAGATGTCCTTCTGAGGTGAGGCCTGGGAGCCCTCACAAAGCTCTGTGAGTCACAAATTGGGGTGGGAGGAACCCTGGGCTTGCTTTTTTTTTTTTTTTTTTGAGCAGGAGAGAAAAGTGTTTGGAGTAGAAGATTGTGGTGAAGCCTGGCATGCCCTGTTTCCCTGACTTCTTTGCTCCCTTGCTCATGGCTCCACTTATCCTCACAGGCAGCTGGAGGGGATGTAGTCCTGTTACTATGGTAACCAGTGCATAAGAACGAAAGTACTGAATCATAAGCCCTTATTTCTCTCCAGCACCTGCCCTCAGAAGCTCTGGCCAGGACCTCATGTACCCTCATAGCACATTCACCCACCGATGTGCATAGAATAAGGGCTGGGTGTATCTCAATACTCTGGGATGAATTCTACCATTGGCATTTTCCCATGTGGGGAAAGTGCTCTTGGACAGGTCAACTGCTTGGGAGTTTTTCTTATCTGTGAAATGAGTGAATTGAATGAGATGATCTCTAAAGCCAGTTGAGGGATGGCCCAATGACAATGTGTGCCCTGGCTGGCACACTTGAGCCACACTCTATGTGTGCCTATGTATTTACCCAAGAATGTGTCCCTCTCCCCTTTTGATAGAAGGGAAATTGACTCTGGAACCAGGCACCAGGTTGAACTCCAGTATCTGGGAATCCTAATGATTCCTTCAATTCAACATTCAAGTTCAATTCAATTCAATTCAATTAGCATTTATTAATTACCTGCTATGTGCCAGGCAATGAGCTAGGCACTGGGGTTACAAAATCGAAACTGAAACAATTTCTGCCCTCAAGGAGCTTACATTCTATTGGTGATATATACAAAGTAATCAAAAGGCAAAGAGAACATTAACAGCGGGATGGGGGTCATAGGGTAGGAGAAAGAGGAACAGAAAAGGCTTCATGTAGAAGGTGGCAGTTGAGGTGAGCCTAGAAGGGAGCTTGGGGATCCAAAAAGTAAAGGCAAGCAAGGCTGACTTAGGTTCTTATCCTGACTAACCCAGTGACTGACCCTTGGATACTTTCCTCATCTATAAAATTACCTTCTGTAATCTGTTCATTTTAAAATTCTATGATAGCACTTGAGTCTGCCTTTCCACAAAGTGGGGCTGAGTTTCTCTCTCTCTATTGGATGCTGTGAGAACTCAATCGTACCCTGGTGAAGTCACTGGTCAATAACAAACCATCTTAACTGGTTTAACTGACAGTGGTCGTCTTTCCTAACAAACACTAGCTGGAAAAAGGAGGAGGACCTGTTGGGAACTTGGGGATAGCAAATGATATATTCAAAGTAGTAGAAAATGATATATTCAAAGCAGTATAAATGAATGTCTATTCTTCCCCACTTTTGCAGCTATAGCTACTGACTGCTTTTGATCTTGGACCCCTATTTCTTTTTTTTTTTTTTTGGTAAGGCAATTGGGGTTATGTGACTTGCCCAAGGTCACACGTGTCAAGTGTTTGGTCTGAGGCTGGATTTGAACTCAGGTCCTCCTGACTTCAGGGCCAGTGCTCTATCCACTTGGACCCCTATTTCTAAGAGATGTGGCAGAAGGGTAAGGGTGACTTCTTCCATGTCATAGGAAAACTGATTCCCAGACTAGGGCTCCTTAGATGGAGGCTCATGAATTATTCACAGCGAAGGCCTGGGTGGAGCTGTACTTCTCTTCCTTCAAGTCCAGAGCTAATGTATGATTGGGAACATCTCCCAGTCCTCCCCGTCTTAATGAGGGGTTGGGGGAGGTTGTAGCTATGTGTGAGAGAGGAAAGACTAGAGATTAGGGAGAAGTAAGAGATGTCCCAGTGAGTGTGTGGAGAGGGGCCTTGGCTCAGTGGGGAAAAGATACTGGTCATATTTAATACTCCTCACTTCCTCCACTTCAATATCATTTTCAGAGATGTATTGTCAGCCTCTGGAATAAGAGATGGTTGGGGCTAGTGTAGATAGGAAATCTTGTTCTCTGAGACTGAGGTGGTGGGAAGCTGGAGAAAGACAAGAAGTATGCTGGTAAGTTTGAGGATCTTACCTTGGACTTGCGGGAGGCTGGAGAAAAACAGGAAGTATGCTGGGAAGATTGAGGACCTAACCTTGGACTTTTGGCACCTCCGATTGGCATTGGTTTCGTTGTATACCTACCTAAATAGAATCCCAATTTGTGACACCAGTACTTACTTGGCTCTCTCGGGGGAAGAGGTTGAGATCTGCCACTCTGGCATTTCTTTTGCTCTTTACTGTACATCTCCAATTGTTTCCTCTGTTGACTCTGGTAAACCAAGGGGCTCAGTCCCAGCACTCATTCCCTTCTTTCTGCCTCCACATGCTTCAGACCACAAGAGTGCATTTTAAGGGATTATTCACAAGTGTAAAGAGAATATACAAATTCACAAGTGATATGGCAGGGTAAGGTTATTAGAAGTCTGTGTAAAACAATTCTAACTAGTCCCAGACTGAATGGCAACTCAATTTTCTTATTTAATCATAATTCTTAATTAAAGTTCCCCAGGGTTAAGCTAGGAAGCACATACTTGATGACCTTAGAGAGAGAATGCTGGCTTCTTTCTCAGAATACACTTATGCCTGATTTTTGGATTCAGCCACCTGGGTTCTCTGGTCCATTTTTCCAGTTCTATTTTATCTTTCAGTCAATTGGGTGCAAGCTTTCCACAATACTTGACTACTTCACTTCCTCCCCTCTATTACCAAGGGGAAAAGAAGGAAATGCAAAATAGATTAAATAATCTCATCACTTCAAAAAGATCAGAATTCAACCCAACTCACAGGTCCTGTCAGAGTATACAATATATACCTCCCCCACCCTTTAGCTATACCATATGCAGCAAAGGCTTCTGGGAAAAACTGGCAGGGCGCCTGACAGACGTCAGATGGCCCCATAATGTCTGAACAGGGTTGATATTTGCCTCCCATCCCTATTTCTCTTGGGAAACACCAGGGAGTCGTTTTATGAGCAGAAAAGAGTAGTGGGGGAGGAGAGAAATGAGAAACTCCCTTCTCGCCTCTATTCCTTAATCAAGTTGGTTTCCTTTCTTAATTATCTGGGTGGATTATTCCTTTTGGGGATTATTTCTGATGATTTTTTTTTTTATCTCAAGCAGTTTCCTTCCTATTATCCAACATTTACCTATAATGCTTTCCCAGGCTATCTGCTGCTGGTGAATTGCTTACTAAGGGATGTATATCTAAGGCCTGTGATTTGGTTTCAGCTGGGAATTTCCACCAGCAGTATTCTGATCTATGACTTAGTGGATTAATCCAGGGAAGTTACCTGAGGTCCATAGATGTTGTGACTTACCTGGATCCAAACAAATAAGTGTCAAATGCAAGATTTGGCTTGATCTTCTGGGTTCTGAACCTAGTTAGGCTATTTCCAGGGGGTAACAGCAACAGCCACTTTCATTTAGGGATTGCTTCGGGGCAGCTAGGTGGTATAGTGGATAGAGTGAAGGGCCTGGAGTCAGGAAGACCTTAATTCAAATCCTGCCTTAGACACTCACTAGCTGTATGATCCTTGGCAAATCATTCCACTCTCTTTACCTCAGTTTCCTCATCTGTAAAATGAACTGGAGAAGGAAATGGCAAACCACTCCAGTATCTTTGCCAAAAAAAAAATCCCAAATGGAGTCATAAAGAAATGGACATGACTGAACAACAATTATGATTTATAATTTTATTAATATATAAAACATTTAATAACTGCCTACTATGTGCACAGTACTGTGCTAAGCACTGACGATGATACAATGTTGAAATAAGAGATAGTCCTTGTTCTCATGGCTCTTACAGTTTGGTAGGAGGATAAGACACAAAAAGACAATTTCAATGCATTAAATTAACAAATGTGCAAAACACATTTTATTAGGGTGTGTACCAAAGCAATTTCATTTTAAAAAAGTAGACATGTTTCTTGTGCTTAATCATAAAGGACATTATTTTTATTCATCAAATTAAAGAAACTAAACCTTAACTAAACAACTTTTTAAAATTCACAATGAAACTTTACTCAGAAAATACAAATTTTATGAATGGCTTCTTTTAGAATAATCTTTTTTATTTGTTAACTTGTCTATTTATATAATCAAATTTCAGTTTCAAATTCTTTCCCCTC